AAAGTGAGGATGACTTGAAGCACTTACTGATGCAGATTGAAGACTACAGTCTGCAGTATGGATTACACCTCAATATAAAAAAAAATGAAAATCCTCACAACTGGGCCAGTAAAAGGCATCATGATAAACAGAAAAGACTGAAGTTGTCAAAGATTTCATATTACTTGCTTCCACAATCAACACCAATGGAAGCAGTAGTCAAGAATCAGATGATGATGTATTGCACTTGGCAAATCCCCTGCAAAAGACCTCTTTCAAGTGCTGAAGAGTAAAGATGTCTCCTTGAAGACTAAGGTGCACCTAACCCAACCCATGGTATTTTCAATCACCTCGTATGCATGTGAAAGCTGGACAATGAATAAGAAAGACCAAAAAAGAATTGATACTTTTGAGTTGTGGTGTTGTCGAAGAATGCGGAAAGTACCATGGACTGCCAGAAGAACTAACAAATCTGTCCTGGAAGAAGTGCATCTGGAATGCTCCTTGGAAGCACCTACTTTGGTCATGTTGTCAAAAGGGACCACTCCCTAGAGAAGGATATCATGCTTGGTGAAGTGGACGGTCGACAAAAAAGGGGAAGACCCTCAACAAGATGGATTGACACAGTGGCTGAAATGATGGGCTCAGGTATAGCAAGGATCGTGAGGCTCACACAGGACGAGGCAGTGTTTTGTTCTATAATACATAGGGTTGCTATGAGTCAAAACCAACTTGACAGCACCTAACAACGACAACAAGAGGGAAACTATACTTCCTGCAAAATCTTCCTGTAAATCTGTAACTGCTCTGAAAAATAGTCTATTGATTTAGAAAAGAGAGCTCTTGTGGCATAGTCTAAATCAATAGACTAAGGCATTTGACTGCTGACTAGAAGGTTGGTGGTTCTCCCCCACCAGCCACTCCAGAGGAGGAAGACTGGGCAATCTACTTCCGTAAAGATTTACCGCCGCAGGAACCCAAAGGAGGTCTCTATGAGTTGGAATCGACTTGATGGCAATGAGTTTGGTTTTTTTTTTTTTTTTTTTTTTTGGGTTAAGCAGTAATAACTAAATGGTGTTTCCAAACCACTAATAAGGAAAATGCCCACTTGCCCATTGAGTCCTAGAGTGAGATGGTTGCTATGATAAGTAGAAATTGAGAGGACAGAAAACTATCATTGATTTAGTTCAACTCAAATGACTCTCCTAATCTTACTATTAGTGTTGTCTAGAATCAGCTGAAAAAAATAATCTCACTTGGATAAAAATTACTGAGATAGTTTAATAAAGGTGTTAAGTGCACCTATTTTAAAAAAGCAGCCAACATGAATGACCCTTGAAAACATTACACTGAGTGAAATGTTAATCATAAACAGTCAAATATTATATGACCCTACTTATATGAAATACCTAGAATAGGCAAGTGTGTAGACACCAACATTTATTCATGGCTACCAGGTGGATACGAGGGAGGGGGAAAGAAAGACACAACACTTAGTAGACACTAGTTTGTGTTACGGGTGATGGGAAAATTCAGGAACAGTTCATGGTGATGGTTAAACAAGAGTAAACAACAACAAAATACAAGCAAATCAACAAACAAAAAAACTCACTGCCATTGAGTTAATTCCAACTCATAGTGATCCTATAGGACAGAGTAGGACTTCTCCATAGGGTTTTCAAGACTGTGAATCTTTACAGAAGCAGACTGCCACGTGTTTCTCCCATAGAGTGGCTGGTGGGTTTGAACTACCGACCTTTTGGTTAGCAGCTGAGTGCTTAACCAATGCACCACCAGAGCCCTCTTGGACAACATAGTGAACTTAACTAATGTCATTCAACTGTACATGTGAAGATTGTGGAAATGGCAAATGTTTTGTTATCTGTACATTTGCACAATAATAATAATGGCCAGACACTGTGAGGAATAGGTAACCCTTCTAAATACAGAGAACTTAAAGGGAGTCAGGTGTTGACTCTATGGCAGTTAACAACACCGACACCAAATAGGGGAGGTGGGGTACAGTGGGAAGGACTGTATTACCTGCCCAGGGAAAAGCACCTGGTGTTTTCCTCCCTGATGCTGTTTCAAGATGCCTTTTTTCTTTTCTTCTGTCCCACTTGTCTTAGGAACAGTTGCCACTTCCTTGGGTTTGTTCTTCTGAAAAGACAAGGAAGGAGAGCCTTGTAGCCACCCTGAAGGGCACAGACCACCCTCTGCTCCATGGAAGAAGGTGTCGACACCAGTTGAGGAAAAAGCTCTCTGGTGGCCCTCCCTCTGGAGCCTGCTGTCGCCACACTCTGGTACTCATGTCCCCTCACTTTTCCTCTGCATCTAGCATTCATGCACAACCAGAATGACTGTCTAAACCCCAGACCTCCTCTGTCCTTTCCACCTTAGAATCTGTCATTAGCACCCTGCCACACTCCACATAAGGCCCATTCTCCAGCCTGGTTGGAATTCCTTCTGGCCTGCACATGGCCTTTCTGGCTGTGACCTCCAATCTGGAACCACTGGAAGGCTGACCTGTCTTCCATTAGGCCCTGCTTGTTCAGACCTTTGGGCCCTTGCAGTGTAGTGAATTACTTTTCTAGCCATAAGTCTTTGTAAACTCTGTGGTGGAATTTGCTGTGAGCAACTGAGGAGCTCCTGATTATAAATATTATCCACCTGGGGTATTTCTGTTGGGTGCAACACAAAGCAATGTTCTGGAAAGTTCCTGCTCTCTCTCAGGTGTTAGAATTATGATGTTATAATTGGTTGGTTTTTCCACTCTGCTGGGCTCAAAAGGCCTCTTAGAGGCAGAACCCTCTCTCTGACCTTGAGCTGAGGAAGACATGTTGCTGAGAAAGAGACATCAACAGACATGCACTACTGAGAAAGAGACAACGAGAGACATGCACTGCTGAGAAAGAGACACGCGTTTCTGGGAAAGAAACTGAGAGAGGCTGTTGGGTGAGAGACAGTGGGCTGGGAGAGAGGCTAAACATTGTTCCTGAACTTGAATTGTAGCCTGGTACTTCCCTAATAAACCCCATAATCTGTGAGTTCTGTGTGGCCAATGCAGTGAATTATTGAACCCAGGAGAGAGGTGGTGACTGCTTTGGGAGGAATGGTTGGTGAAAGGGCTGGAGGGAGGCAGCACGTCTGGCCTCGCAGGAATAGGCCTTGGGTTACTGATGGTGATTCTGTCTTCCTCTTGTGGGGCTAGAGGAAGTCAGAAGATGTGGCCCTCCTTGCCCTTTTAGCAGCCCTTGTCCATCCAGAACTCTGTGTCTCTTCACCCCACATCCACCCTAGCCTGCCTTCCAACAGTCTCTCAAAACTCAAAAAAAAAAAAAAAAACCCTCAAGTCAATTCCGAATCACAGTAACCTCCATTGGTTTTCCAAGGCTGTAAATCTTTACGGAAGCAGACCACTGCATCTTTCTTCTGTGGAGTGGCTGGTGGGTTCAAATCACTGACCTTTTGGTTAGAAGCCAAGTGCCTTAACCACTGCACCACCAGAGCCCCTTTCCTAGAGTCTCTAGTCAAATGAATCTTGCCTTTCTCTTTTCCCAGGTACTTCTTGCAACTCATCAAAGAACTGAGCACACAATGCCCAGAGAGGAGGCAGGAAGGAAAGTCTCACCTGGGGTCCCCAGGGCCCAGCATTTGGAAGAACCCAGAAGGGATGCATTAAGGGGTGGGGCAGCCAGGAAGCATTCATGCTAATCTATGAATGGGAATGGGGAGAGCTGAAGCAATGAGATGGAGAAAATCATATCAACCTGATCTCCTTTCAGGAGCTCTGGTAGCACAGGGTCTAAGGCACTTGACTGCTAACCAGAATGCTGGTGGTTCAAACCCACCAGCCACTCCTCAGAAGGAAGGTTGG